ACCCTCCACCCGGCTGGTGTGGCTCAGCGGTGCAGCATCAACCTGTGAACCAGGAGGTCTCGGTTCAATTCCCCGTGGGCGCACATGATCCCCAGCAGGGGGCGAGCAGGAGGCAGCCGATCCATGATTGAGCGCGGATGTCTCTCTCTCGCTCCCTCTCCCTCCCTTTCTGAAATCAATAAAGACATATTAAAAGAAATTATAGTGAAAAGAAAAAAGTCAAGCAAAGGCCATAATGTTAGATGTGTCACAAGATAATAATATCCAGGGAAATTACATTCACTTTAGGAGAGTCAGTATGATCTAGGAGGAGGGAGGGAAGGAAACGAGATTAAGGGGCATGAGTAGGATTTTAAATATGTTTGAAATGGTTTATACTTTAAAAGAGAAATAGGATAGAAGTGAACTTCTTAAATTTGGTTAGTGGTACGGGGTCATTCTAGTTTCTGCACCTTTCTGTATGCTTGAAATATTTAAAATTTAAGTATATAAAGTAAACAAGTGCATATGGTAAATATATTAGTTATGTATTTATTTTAGTACATATGTATTCTTATACACATATGTCTATACACACACACACATATATGTATATNTATGTATTTATTTTAGTACATATGTATTCTTATACACATATGTCTATACATACACACACACACATATATGTATACATACACACACACACATATATATATACAGGTCTTTTAAGGAAAGAAAGGATAGAACAAAGAGGTCCAAAGTAATTGCAAAATACTCTTGGTAACTAAATTGAAAGCCCCTGTGGGTCTCCATTGCCTGATACAAATCATTGCACAAGTCTGTTGCACAAATAGTGCATAGGCTACCCTGCTGTGATTATTTTCTCCCACCACACTCACTGCCTGGTTTGTATTTATTCTTCAAGCCCAGGCCAGGTGTCATTTTTCTGCAAGCCCTTTCCTAATAATCCCTTCCCTTAATGTCTTTTGTGCTTATTTTAGCATGGGCGGAAACCAGGTTATTTTGCTATTCAAGTGAGCCTCAGTTAGAGATTATATATTTCAAATGTCACCAGTTGTAAATGTCAAAACAATTTATTGACCAAAAAAAAAGCACGTTACTTTACTCGCAGTTGAAACAGTGCCCCACCCCTAGTGCTCCCCTCTCCCCCCCCCAGAATATTGTGATTCATGCAAAGTACATAACCGTACTCATATTTTTCCCCTCTCTTTTTAGGATCATGGCTGCTGTTCCTCAAAATAATCTACAGGAACAACTGGAGCGTCATTCAGCCAGAAAACTTAACAATAAGTTAAATCTTTCAAAACCAAAATCTTCGTAAGTATTTTGGTTGTTTTGATGTTATACAGGCACTAACGTATAGTATCATACAAGTGTGATATCCAGAGCTGCTCTTTCAGCCCTTTTATTGTATAGATGAGGAAATAAAGCTGTGAAGTCAGTGACTTTCCCACTTTGCAAATCAGTGGTAAGACAGGTGTTAGCAGCACCAGGTAATAAGTTGTTCAACTTTTGCTCAGTTCCTGGCACATAACACTTGCTCAGTAAATATTTGTCGAATGAATTAGTAATGAATCTTTTTGTAAATTTGGGCAAATAGATATTGTTAGCATTTTAATATAATTTTATATCTTTTCCAGAAACAATTTATAAGGAAACTATAGCTCTCTAGTTCTGTCCTTTCCTCCAAGCTATACTCCACAACTCCTAATAATTTATATTCCTTATTGTATGTACCCTTACCAGGTTCTAAACACTCTTCTGGGTGCTTGACTTTAGAGTCACCATTGACCTTTATGTCATTAAGTCCAGAGATGTCCAGAACTGTTACTTCTCCAAATCTCAGTATAGGGAGCAGTTTTAAAAATTTTCCCCATAAAACTTTGATCACAGTAGTGACAAGGAGCCACATTTGGGTCTCTTCCTTTTTCACTTACGCCGTTCCCTCCCTCTGGAGGTGCTGTTAATTAAGGACTAACAGCGTGAGAAATGAGTAGTGGGAATGGCCTGGATACTCTCAAAACTGAATGATTAGCCTCTGAATAGGAAGGGTCAGAGCATACAAAGTATAATTTAAGTTACTTTTGAAATTTTTTAAAAAATATGTCTTTATTGATTTCAGAGAGAGGGAGAGGGGAAGAGAGAGAGAGAGAGAAGCATTAATGATGAGAGTCATTGATCGGCTGCCTCCTGCACGCCCCTTATTGGGGATCGAGCCCTGCAACCCAGGCATGTGCCCTGACCGGGAATGAAACCAGGACCTGGATCATAGGTGAATGCTCAACCACTGAGCCACACCGGCTGGGCAGTTACCTTAGAAATTTTTAAATCTGAGAGGGTGATGGAAGGTAAGTTATATAAATTAGTAAAAAACTTAGAGTTTTGTGTAGTTGATGGGTGTGTTTTAATTTATCTAATTCAGGTTTTTTAATTTTTCCAGCGGTTTCACTTTTAAAAAGAAAGTATCTTCAGCCAACAGTGTGTCTGTGACTAGTGTGTCAGTAGCAAAAACACCTGTGTTAAATGATAAAGATGTTAATGTTGCTGAGGATTTTTCCTTCAGCGAAACTTTTCCCCACACCACAAATCAGCAGACAAGCATCCATGACTCTAAAAACGCTGCTGCAGGACAGCAAACCAAGAGAGTTGGTTCAAAACCATCATTGCTGGATTCGGTGCAGATTCTACAGGACGTTTTACGTACTACCCAGAGCACACGGCTTACAAAGGAGTCCCGTGATGCCATTTTCAAGAAATTAGAATATAGTTCTTCATCAGATTCTTTTATGACCATCAATGATTGGGATGATATGGATGACTTTGATACCTCTGGAAATTCAAAAGCGTTTGCTACACCCTACAAAAATCACCATGTAATAATAAGCACTGCTCAGAAATCAAAAAAGTCCAAGAGAAGCTTTTTTAAAGCGCAGATTCCTAAAGAAAATACACTGAAAGCTGATTTGACTCCCTCCTCTGAATGCAAGCAAGTATGTTCGACTAAGGGACAGAAGGCTGGCTCTGAATGGTTAAGTAGCGACGTGATTTACATTGATGATGGCCCCAACTCCGAAGAGCTTACGAATGAAGATACTCAGGGTAGTCACTCTTTAAAAACTCATTTGGGAGAGGAAAGAGGTAAAAATTACTTTATTTTCATGTCAATATATTGACTGTGTTCCTTCATTCAAAGCTAAGCATTGGAACAGTAGCAGCTATGAGATAGCTTTTGATCTTAGGATCTTTAAAAGTGCTTATTGAACAATCTCTTGGTCACATGCTCGAGGCAGGCCATACTGGTGAAATGAAAGATTTCCTTCTGCTAATACAATTTTATATTAACACCAAGGATAGCTCTGTGATTTTTATATATGAAGAAAATAAGACCCATAGAAGTTGAAATGACCTATTCATGGTCTACTGGCTGGTAAGTGGTAGAATTTCCACTAAAGTCCCTTTATGGCTTGCTGCCACCTAGCATGCTGTGTAATATGATCTAATCATGCTATAAAGTGTTATAAATTACATTCAAGTTATTTTCTGTTTAGGTCTCATAGTCATTAGATGTTTATGACTTGCCTGAAGCCCTCGATTTTCAGTGCTCATACCCTGTTCTTTCTGTCTCATTAATTATTAAAATAACCTGTGTTTATCAACTGTTTACTTTAGATAATGGTGAAAAGGAAAAAAACTTGAAAAAACCTGAATTACATTCTGTTGAGAAATCTCCATGTGTTGAGCTTGATGACGACGACATAGATTTTATTCCACCTTCTCCAGAAGAAATAACAACTTCTGCCTCTTCTTCCTCTTTAAAATGCTTTAGGTAAAGTTGCTGATTGATTAATGAGCATTATTGTTTGTTTCGGGGGTATCTGAGATAATTTAGTTATGTAATATCATTTCTGTGTAATTTCATGCTCTGCACAGTTTATTTTATATCCAAGATGAATGACTTTGAGGGCCAGCTAAAGAGGTTTGAGATCAATTGTCTGACCAGTTGTGGAGAAATATCAGAGGACAAATTATGCGTTTGAGCTGCTCTGTACTTTGATTGTTTGTATATTTTTAAATTTGTAGCGTGTTAAAGGAGCTTGACACCTGTGACAGAAAGAAGGCTGCCCTAAGCTCACCAGAGGACTTGTCAGAACGTGAGAAAATGCCTGCTCGGCAGTCTAACCAAGAAATCGGCACCGGCTGTGACGGTACAAAAAGTACTTAGACACATCATGTATTCTAAGTACTTACTTTTGAAAACCAAGTCAGGTTGTGTTTTCACCTGTGACTGTATAGTATCAGATGGCAAATTTATAGTTCCTTTTGCCCTAATAGAGTCATCCCTGTTCATTGGTTAGTCAGATTTGCTCAAACAACTCATAAACCCATGTTCTCACAAGGTAATTCATTCTCTATTTTGAAAACGCTACTTGTTAGAAAATTATTTCTTACATTGAACCAAAATTTGCCTTCCTGTAACTTAATCCTTGTGAGGTAAGTGTAAAGCTCCCAGAAGTTTTTTGTTTTGTTTTTTAAGGCTATATTTTACTAGCAGCCGTTTGATAAAGTGTTCTAGAATTTTTTCTTGAATTAATACCAAGATCACCAGCTTGTAGCTTTTGGCACTCACTTTACACTTTTTTTGAAAATTAGAACAATGTTTGCCTGTCTTCACTCTTCCATCAACTAGATGCTTCAAATGTAATCGAAATCTTACTTGCAGGTTTCCTTTGTACTCCAAAATGTAATCTGTCTAGACAAGGAGACTTGAGTTCTTTCCAGTGGCTGTCTCTCTCTCTGAGCCTGTCCTGGCTTTCATTTCCTGCAGACCATTGTTTAGTGCCCTCTTCCCAATCTCATGCCCACTCTCTTTGCAGAGGAAACAGGAGTAAAGTAGGGACTCAGCAATTCTGCTGTCCCCGTCTCATACCTCACGTTCCTATTGACGTCAGTCCCTAGTAAGCATCAATGCAGCTCTGTGATATGCTTTGTGTGGGCATCATGAGGTTTACACCTGAAGTTAGTAAAAATGCAGAGTAAATTGGTAAAACTTTCCTATCTTCCGGTGACCTTGGTTACCTTAAGAGTAATATTAAGAATTAATGTGAAATTAAATAGTTACAGAATAGAGACATGATATAGAATAGAGACAATCTCATTTCAAGTTATTTCACAGGCAGATAAGGGCAGTCTAAAGTTGTTTATAATCTTTTTAAACTACTTCAGATTTTACTTGCATGACTTTGAAAATCTTGTCTCTCTTATTTACAAGGAAAATATTAACACCATAATTACTTTATAGCTAGACAGATAAGTTGGCAGCAGCGGCTTATTGGAGTGATGGACCACATCTGTAACTTAGTCGATACTATTCCTGATGATGAACTGAAAGCTTTGGGCTGTGGGAATGACCTGCATCAGCAGCGGGACATAAGGTATTGGTGTTTTTCCTTCTGTGGTATATCTGACTGCGTTTCCACTACGCTGTATCAGAAACGCAGGGCAAAATTGTTAGCTTTCTGAGCAGGATAAATTGTCACTGTGTTTTAAACTTATTTACTTTTTCAAACTGTTCCTTTAGTATTTGTATCCAGATTTTTGAAATTGGAAAAAAGGGGATGTATTTTGCCACAATTGGGGGTGAGAATTAAAGATATAGTTGTGTGGCCTACCGAGGTAGACTGCTCACACTTACCATGTTGTTGTGTGTTTTCAGAAGGAAACTCTTAGCTGAAGCAGATTTTAACCGAAGTGATGCCAGTGTTCTTGGCTTGGCGTGGAGGTGCAGGCCGGGCGCACTCGGGGACCCCACAGAGGATACAGCATCTGTTTCCTTGCCTTATACATTTCCAAAGGGTGATTCCCGCCCTACAGGGAGTTCTGAGGAGTTAAATTTTCCACCCATTCCCTCAAATTCCATTTCTTCTGGGGAATCTTTAGTGACTACTACCCCAGGAAAGACGGGATTCTCGGTCACCAAGAAGAATCTCTTTGAAAGACCATTATTCAATTCCCATTTACAGAAGTCCTTTGTAAGTAGCAATTGGGCTGAAACACCAAGGATGGAAAAAAGAAACGAAAGCTCGCATTTTCCAGGAAATGTTCTTACAAGTACTGCTGTGAAAGGTCAGAATAAACTTACTGCCTCAACAGATGACTTAGGAGAAATCCAGGCTGCCTGTGAGATTGATAATTTTGACATAGATGACTTAGATGATGATGATGAGTGGGAAATTATAATGCATGACTTAGCCATGAGCAAACCCTCCACAGCTGCCTATCAGCCTATTAAGGAAGGTCGGTCGGTTAAATCAGTATCAGAAATGATTCCTTCGGCCAAGAAGGACTGTCTTCCTGTGGCATCTACTGCTCAAAATAAAAATTCAGAGCCAATTCAAAAATGTAAGTATATAATTTTAGAAATCTGGATTGATGAGAACTGATCAATTTGTCAAGAAACGTGTTTTATGTCTTAAAATATTAAAATATAGGACAGTCTAAGAAAGATTTCAAGTCAGATTTCTTAAATCAATCAAATTATTTCTTTTGGCCTAAAATTCTTTTAATTCATTCAACAGATATTTGTCGAGTGCTCACTATGTGCATGCTCTGCTCTAGGTGCTAGTATTAGATAAATAATGAATAGGTCTGCCCTGTTGGAGCTCACAATTCAGTGAGGGAAGTTTTTGGAGGAATGAAGTTAGCCACTAAAGGCTGCAGAGAAAAGCCAAAATTAATTCTTAAACCTCACATCAATCCTATAAAGTTATCAAAAAGTGCATGTGTGTTTTTTTTAACTGAAACAAGTTTAGATGTACGGAGTTCTGTAAAATATAGCCCCCTGTCTATTTTTAGTACTGAAGACTTACTACCATGGAGGTTCTTATAGTTACGCTGCTGACCTTTAAAAGAACCTTTAACGGATTTATTTTTGTATCCTGTTAGAACGTATCATACTTGACGTTCACAATTATCTTGAGATAGTTGAGCATTGGGTTTGGAGTAACTGCCAAAGCTGGTGTGAGCACCTCTNTGTATCCTGTTAGAACGTATCATACTTGACGTTCACAATTATCTTGAGATAGTTGAGCATTGGGTTTGGAGTAACTGCCAAAGCTGGTATGAGCACCNACGTATCATACTTGACGTTCACAATTATCTTGAGATAGTTGAGCATTGGGTTTGGAGTAACTGCCAAAGCTGGTGTGAGCACCTCTTCTTATTCTTTGTGTTGAACCAGAGTTGCAACAGCAGGGATGGAAAGCAGGGGGCAGACTTGAGTGACATTGTGGAAGAAGGGTCAGGAAGCCAAGATGACTCCGAGGGTTCTGCCCCAGGGGGTGGGGAAAGTATGACACCATTAACAGAAATAGGGAGTCTGGAGACAGGCAGATTTGGAGAAAAGCTGAGGAGGACCCTTTTAAGACTTGTTGAGCTTACAATGTTGGTAAGGCATTTAGGTAGAAATGTCTTGAGGGCAGTTGGAGATGCACACAGGACTGGAACTTGGGAGTGGATCAGTCGGTTCTTAAAAAAGAGATCTAGGCCTTTTGTGCACAGAGGTGAAGCTTAAGATCATAGGACTAGAAAACCGCCAAAAAAAGAGCAACTAAGGAGCCCAGACCCCAAACATCTGAAACACTCCCAAATTTAAGGGGCAAGAGGAGGAAGTGGAACCAAGAAAAGGAATTGAAATCCATAGTTGTCTTGCAGGTCAGCTGAGAGGAGAGGAAGGAGGAAATAGAGTAGCGGTGGTGCTGTAGAAAAAAAATCCAGGAAAGGCTTGAATTTGGCCCTTAGGACATCTTCGGTGGCCTTGACACTTGTATGGGAGGAAGTTCAGTCAATGTTTAAAGAAGGACTTTGCTGTAGGCAAAGTATGCCAGTCCTTATGCAGGGCAGAGGGTAAGCCTGAAACTGACTTGTGACATTAATGCACTGATTTTTCTTAACATTGATTACTTTCTTAGGCCAGTTGATGCAAAATTTAGCATCCAGAAATCTGAAACACGAGCATTTCCAAAGTCTTGATTTTCCTCATACAAAAGAAATGATGAAGATTTTTCATAAAAAGTTTGGCCTCCATAATTTCAGAACTAATCAGCTAGAGGCGATCAACGCTGCGCTGCTTGGTGAAGACTGTTTTATCTTAATGCCCACTGGTATGTATTTTTAGATATGAATTGGCAGGAATCCATTGGCAGATGTGAAATGAAAGCCTTTTAATGGAAATAAAAAGAACACCGACACAGTATTTGTATCATTTATGGGCCTCTAACCCTCCCGTGCCATAGTAAGAAAGTGTGTTACCTCACACCCTCTGTTCCAGTTGTTGACATAATCACATTTATAGCCCTTTAAGATTTTCAACTCAAAGCTCATTGTGTTGAACTGATTTAGAATTTCTCTTGGGGAATTTTTCTTTTTTCTAGCCTAAATTAGCCTGAAACATGAATAAAAATGTAGGACTGGACTAGAGACATGACCATTTCTGGCAGCTTATTTGGTACAGCCTGGTGTCGCATGGTGGTTAAAATCCTCAGCTCTGCAGTGACGGCCTGGGCCTAAAGCGCAGCCCTGCCGTTTATTAGCGGGGTGGCCTTGAGCAGGGCATTTCATAATGCCTGCTTCACAGTGTGTTATGAGAATTAAATGAAAAGCATTTAGCATAGTTCTTTCTTGGCCTGTTTTGAAGAGATCCAGGACTTTCCATTGTGCTGTAAACGTTTATAACAGCTGTTCAATGATTTATAGTCCTCCAAGTCAGAATATTAAATGAGCATTTAGGATAATCATGGGGAGTTTGGCATTTCAATACTTGCAGTCTTCCCTCAGCCCTCTACTCTCCTTGTGACCTTAAACAATCAGTTATTGCCATCATTGTTAAATAGTATTGTCTGGGCATCTGAATTTTTCAAATTGATTTAGGTGATGTTGGTTTAATAATCATTTCCTATTTAACTTGTTTACTTTGTGTTGACTCCAAGTTGGTACCCCAGAACTAAAGCAGGAAAGGACCATGGGTCGTCTAGTGGTTTTCGGGGCTTTCCGTGGTCCTTTAGGGTTTCAAGAGCGGGTTTTTTTGTTTTGGTTTGGTTTTTTTATATCTTTATTGATTTCAGAGAAAGGAAAGAAGAGGGAGAGAGAGAGAGAGAAACATCAATGATGAGAGAGTCATTGATCAGCTGCAGCCCACAACCCGGGCATGTGCCCTGACCGGGAATCGAACCCCAATCGCCTGGATCCCAGGTTGACGCTCAACCGCTGAGCCATGCCTGGCCGGGCGAGAGGAGGTTTTTAAGTGTTCTTCCTCTCCAGTTTCAACCTCTTGATATATGTGTATATATGTGTGTGTGTGCGTGCGCGCACGTGTGTATGTGTGTGTATATATATATATATATACACACATACACACATACATATGTGTAAGATTCCAAATAAAGTTTCTTTTGGACAAAAAAAATTTGTAAGCCACTGATCTAGTACATTTTGGAGGTGGTAAAATTGAGGCATGACAAGGTTAAATGGCATGTCTAAGTCACATAACTTGTTAAGTGGTGGAGCAGAAACTAGAACTCAGCTTCCTGCTCTTGCCTTGACATTTACACATATACACCAAAGTGAAATTTACTTACTGCACATGCTGAAAAGATGGAATGTTTTGTTTAAAAATATATNCTTGCCTTGACATTTACACATATACACCAAAGTGAAATTTACTTACTGCACATGCTGAAAAGATGGAATGTTTTGTTTAAAAAAATATATATATATATGGAAGTCCTAGAAACTGCCTGGCACAAGTTTCTAGTAGTAGTGGACTGATGAAGTTAAAAATTAGGGATTAATCATTTTAGTTACCATTAAATGTGTACTGATTATCTTGCCATTTTGAATTAGAGTTACATGGAGAGAGATTCCACCCCTATCCCCCGTCCCGGTCTCAAAAGAAATTTCTTTTCATATTACCTTGTTCATAAGGGCACGGGGAGTAAGATCTCTGGTATTCATACCAGTGGCTTAACAAAACCGAGATTCTAGATCTCTCCTCTGGATCATCAAAGACATATTAAACCATGTTAACTGTGGGTTTTAGGGTTCTGCATTTTATTACATTTTAACTTTAAAAATTAAATGTTATACAAAATAATTATTTTAACCCTAGTAGCAACTAGAGTACCTCTTGTGCTGAGTTTGGATTTCTCAAGTAGACCTTTAAAGCAGTTCTATGGCATTTGAGTTTTCTGCCCTGATTCTCGCCTTTGCTATCATACGTACCCTCATGAGATATCCTAAAAGATAATCTTTATACACTTAAATTGTCCAAGTATTTTGGCTCTTTTGAATGTGGCAAATTGTTGGCACCATGGGGAGTATCCCTTGATATCCTATGACTTAATTATCTTAGATATTGTATGTTGCTTACTTTGTAACTCTTGCCTTCATGCTCTCAAAATAAAACCTCACAAGTTTTTTTTTTGTCATTTCTCTTTAGGAGGCGGTAAAAGTTTGTGTTACCAGCTCCCTGCCTGTGTTTCTCCCGGGGTCACTATCGTCATTTCTCCCTTGAGATCACTTATAGTAGACCAAGTCCAAAAGCTGACTTCATTGGATGTAAGTGAAAAACAAAACTCTACCAATTACAATCAAAACACTAATAAAAACATAACTTAAAGATCATTTTACTTAAGTACTCTGGGCTACCTTTTTATTTCATAGTTTGTGAGTTTTAAGAATAATGTACAGCTGTTACATTAAGTTGCACATTTAAGCACAAGTCTGAAAATTCTCATACAGATAACCTCCTGTAGTTCCATCTGATTTTATTCTAGAGGAAGGTATTTTAGTAGGAACGTTTAACTTGTATTTCGCTGATGTAAACATTTTTTTGTTAACATGAAAGGAGTTTTTTTATTACTGCCAGATCAGCATAGTTCTTCCTCCCTTAATATCTTAAAATGCATGCACATGCGCGTGGCCACACACATATCCTTATCCTTTCTCTTCCTGGCTATGATTACGAAAGTATACGAGTGCATTCTGCTGAATCCCACACGTCGTGATAAAATAGAGCTGTTTTCAGTGTGATGAGCCACTGCCTTTTTCAACATGACCACTGGCTTGATTTGTTTTCCAAAGAATGTCAGTGATGGTCACCACCATTCAAGCAGCCATGGCGTTAACGGCCTTTCATCCTCCCTACGCAGTAAAACCCCGAAGATACATTTACCTAAAAAAGAGTGGGACACTTATACTATCGTAATAAAAAATAAAAAGAATGGGTCTTGTGGGTGCTGAATTCATATTTATCTTACAAATATGAGAAGCAAAGGAAGTAAAGGAAAGAGAAAAAGATGTAAACAATGAGAAGAATATTTTGAATTACAGTTAATAAGGGTTTTTTGAAACTATGTACTATGTACTGATCACTTGTTATTTTTATTACATTGAGATCACCTTTCCTTTGACAGGTTTGACATGCATCTTGTAAAATATTTGTAAAAGCTAAGGATATACATAAGCTTAAGTCAGATTAATGTGTAAAACTTACATTGTTGACTACTTTTACACTTAGATTCCAGCTACGTATCTGACAGGCGATAAGACTGACTCAGAAGCTACAAGTATTTACCTCCAGTTATCAAAAAAAGACCCAGTTATAAAACTTCTGTACGTTACTCCCGAGAAGGTTTGTATTTTACCATTATTTTAAAATATGATTGTAGAGCTGTGTTAGGAAAACAATTCAGTTGTTCCTCCTGAGTGGGGGAGAAGCCAGTCCTTCCCTCCTCTGTCTCCCTCCCTTACTACTCACATAGATACTTCATTCTGGTCACCAAGTGTGGGGAGGTTTGTCCTCACACCAAGCACTTCTTGTGACACCAGCCGGGTGTCCTACAATTGAACTCAATTCTGACATTACCTACCCAGAGATAGTTTTGGATCCCACAGGTTAAAGGCTCAGTCCCACAAGATTACTCCCACCCCACTTCAGATGCCAATTGCAAGTAGTAGGCCCCCAGATTACTCATAACTTCTGTCTGATTTGGCTACAAATTGGAAGTTCCTATGACTCCCTTCTCAGGTTCTGTATTTGCTATAGTGGCCCGTAGAACTCAGGGCAACGATTAAGTTTACAGTTTATTAAAGGGCATGACAAAGACACAGATAAACAGCCAGGTGAAGGAAATGTAGGGTGAGATCTAGGAGGGTCCTGACCCCAGGGGTTTCTGTCCTCGTGCAGTTGGGGAGTGTCAACCCCTCCCCCTCCGACTGGATGTGTTTGCCCACCTGGAAACTGAACCCCATGCTTTTGGGATTTTATTGAGGCTTCCTCATGTAGGCACGATCAGTTTTTAGCTCTCTCTCTAGCCCCTCTCCTGTCTGGAGGACAGGGTGTGGGGCTGAAAATTCCCAGCTTCTTCTAACCGTGGCTCGTTCTTTCTGGTAACAGTCCCCCCATCCAGGAGCCCGCTGAGTCGAGTCAGTAGAGTAAAAGATGCTCCTACTGCTCCTATCACTTAGGAAATTACACAAGTTTCCGGAGCTCTTTGCCAGGACCTGGGGGTAGAAATGAATATATTTTTTCTACTATCTCCTAAAAGCTCACTAGTATACATACATTTTTCAATTTTGACATAGTTTTGGTGTACAGTGTAGTACAAGAATTCCTATATGACTTTCACCCAGAAACCCCAAATGGTAACATTTTACTGTAATTGCTTTATCATTCTTTCTGTTTTTTTGCCTTAAACATTTGAAAGTAAGTTGCAGACATAATTCCTTTTCAGCCTAAATACTGTGCCGTGCATTTTCCTAAACACAAGGAATTCTCTTGCGTTACCTCAGGGCAGTGGTCAAAAGCAGAAAATGTTCATTGATACAACACTGTTACTTAGTCTGTAGGCCTCGTTTCCGCTTCACTAGTTGTCCTAATAATGTCCTTCAGCGCAAAAGAAAGAGTGAAGGCCAGTTATTTTGAGAACTGCCCCTCAGTGTGAGTTTATCTTCTGTTTCCTCATGATTAGATTCAAGTTACTCATTTTGGCAGGAACATCAGAAGTGGTGATAAGTTCTCAGTGCTCCTGTCGGGAGGCATTTGAGGTCAATTCATTCTATCATTGGTGATGTTAGTTAACCTATCACCAAATGAAGGTGGTGTCTGCCGGATTTCTTCACTGTAAAATTACTTTTTTCTCTTTTTTTTAAAAAAAATGTACATTTTGGGTCATTTTTTGCCTTTGTAATAGTGGGTATTTTGTTGTGGGATACTCAGACTGTGTAAATATCCTGTTACTCATCAAACTTTTACCTCATAGTTTTATCAGCCATTGATGATTCCTGACGAGTTGTTATTGTGGATGCCAAATGATGATTTTTCTAATTTAGTTGGCATTTTACTATGACGAGCTTTCCTTTTTACCTACATATTTACTTATATGAATATGAAATTGTGGATTTTTAATTCATATAGTGGGCTAGAATCGATTTTTGTTATGTTTTTAATGTTCTAATTGTCCTGGATTTGGCCAGTGGAAGACCATCAAACTGGCCTCTGTGTCCTTTTGACATTGTTTCTCAAGATGTGGGTGCCAAATGTGGTCATTGATACTAGGATGCCATGGTTTCTAGGACCCACCATGGACAGAGCTATAAAATATATATATGTGTGTGTGTATATATATGTGTGTGTGTATATATATGTATACATTTAAGTATATGTACGTAACTGAATATACACGCGTATGTATATATGCACGTGTGTGTATCTCCCTCCCCAGGTAACAAGCATGCAAAGTAACGTGTCTATAATACTGTTCCCAGTGTAAACATGGCTCTCGGGCTTACTGAGGTCCAGAAAAAAAGTTTTAGAACCACTGACCTGGTACAGAATTGCTTCCTAAACATTCTAAAATGTCTCTGCTGTTTTCTATTACTTCTGCTAACTCTTAGAAATGAGAACCAGTTTTCTCTGAAGTTCTAATACAGCTTAAGTTGTAGTGGAACTGAAAGACAACAGAATCCTTATGGTGATGTGGTGGTTAAATGGTTTTTAATGTCTAATCCATTTCTGATCTAGGTCTGTGCAAGTAACAGACTGATTTCTACTCTGGAGAATCTGTATGAGAGGAAGCTCTTGGCACGCTTTGTTATTGATGAAGCACATTGCGTCAGTCAGGTAAAGACTGTTTTTTATGTCTTGAAATATCAATAAATATACACTATCAACAGCATATGTATTTTCAGAACTGGAGAGAGAAAAAACATTGGGTGAATTATTCTGCTATTTCACTGAAGAATAGGGGTTCTGAATATAGCGAGCAGTGTTTGCTTTGTATATAAGGAAGATTCACAGTCTAAAAAGCAGTGTTCTTTTCCCAACTAGTGGGGACACGATTTTCGTCAAGATTACAAAAGAATGAATATGCTTCGCCAGAAGTTCCCCTCTGTTCCGGTGATGGCTCTTACTGCCACAGCTAACCCCAGGGTACAGAAGGACATCCTCACTCAGCTGAAGATTCTCAGACCTCAGGTGTAAGTTACTGAAAGTCCTGCATTTCAAACCCTGGGGCAGTGGTTCTCAGATTGTTGTACAGTATAATCACCTATGAAGCTTTGAAAATCCCAATGCCGAGGTTGCGCCTGGTGCCAGTTAGCTCAGAATTTTGGGGCTGGGAGCCAGTATATATTTAAAAATGCCGAAGTGAACCATCCTTTTCTTGGGGTTACGTTACTGTCCAATTAGCGTATAGTAAGGGCAGTACTGCTAACGCCTTAAAAATAAAATCCCCAAGTGATTACAACGTACAACCAGATTTGGGGACCAGGGCCCTGGAGCTTTTCTTTACTTACTAAACGAAAACTTTCTCCTGGTGCCTATTTGGTAACTATGGATAAAGTGCGTGCTGTCCCTGTTCGCCCTGGGATCACCCCGGTAATAAGTTAGCTTTTACTTATCTAGTTTGGTTCCCGACACCCTAGAGTACACATCAGAAATGAACCAGTGACCCTGCTTTGTCCTTTCCTCTGAAGTCCCAGTGACATCCAGAGTGTGGGAAACAGTCCAGAAACTATGTGTAACAGCTTTTTTACTTTGTTTCCATCTCAACAGCAAAGGGCTTCTTATTGGCACCAAATCCATAAATATTCAATAATAAAAACCACAATAGGGAATTACCCCGCATATATAGGTGGTACTGGATTATTTTGTACCTGTGCTTGAGTTTGTAGACACAGGTACATTCTCTGTTAGGTTCATTCACTCAGCAAATACCTACTTAACAGCTGTTGTGTACCAAGGTTAAGATATTTTTTCCTTCCAATTTGTTGGTGCTTTGAGTCTGAGGAATGCCTGAAGGAATAGTGACTAATATATTCGGGTGATTTTTTTTTAAAGCCCACTTTTTGTTCATTTGGAAATAAAGAGAATAAGCTGGCTGTATAAATATTGTAATCAGTCAAAACAATGACGGCACCTCTCAGTGGGTTCTGAGGACTGGAAGTGCCTTATGAGGGCCGTGAGGGGTCATGCGATTGAGGCAGCTACCAAGACCACGGCAGATCAAACTGGCGTTTTTGGGTGTCAGAATTCCAAGTCCTAAAAATTTTGTGTGTGTAATCACAAAATTTAGACCTTTAATTTAATCTCACTTGCAGAGGGGTGTTTGTATAAAATTGGGGGAAATACAATTTGCTTCCATAATTGAGAAACATTACATTGTATTTAAGGTGTCATACTTTAGGTTTTAGTGAAGAAACTGCATGCTGGAAATTTGCGCCTACAGGCACTACACGGGTCTGTGACAGCTTTTTTTTAGACAGGCAATGTTTTTAGCCTCTGTCCATCAGTGTGCGCCAGGAGCAGCCTTCGAGGGCTCTTTTGTTTTTTATTCCTCACCTGAGGACATTTTCTCCATCGAATTCTAGAGGGGGGCAGATAGGGAGAGAGAGAAACATCAGTGCGAGAGACACATGGATTGGTTGCCTCCCACATGCACCCAGACTGGGTGGGGAACCTTGACTGGAATCGAACCTGGGACCCTTTGGTCCATGGGCCAATGTTCTAACCACTGAGTAATTCTGCTATGAACGTTCACACACAAGTTTTTAGGTGGACCTGTGTTTTCATTTCTCTTGGATATAGACCCAGTAGTGGAATTGTTGTGTTGTGTGGTTACTCTGTTTTGGACCTTTTGAGATCTGCCACATCATTTTACACTCCCACCAGCACTACTCAGACTTCTTTTTGTGACTCACCATTTTTTTTTTTTTTAAATGCATGAAACATTGTTCTGAAATTGAAGTGTGTTGTAAAATGTAGGAAAAGGCAATAAGGCCATTCTTGGGCAGAGTCATTTCAGCCTTCTTGTTGGTAGGGAGACTCACACCAATCTCAGCTTAGGCCCAAATCAACTCAAGTAACTTTCGAGATCACCTGTGTCACTTGTATTCCTGAGCAGTTTTTTTAATGCCGTAATTGCATCAGGACTGCATTTCCCTTTGCTGTGGCAGCGACTGAAGTAATGAACTGGGGACGATCAAAATAGCCCTTGGATATGTCAGTCTTTTATCTGCCGCCTTTTTTGCCACAATCTGCTACACATACTTCTGCCATTTCAAGCGCTAAAAGAAAACTCTTGAGTGTTTTGTATAAGTGAGAGGGATAGTTTTAAAGTGTTGTTTAACTGTAGTCTAAAGCGTTCTGTGACAGTAGTCAGGGGTGAAGGAAGCGGTGTCAGAAAGTGAAAATAATCGTCTACCCAGCACCTCACTCAGTATATCTGAAACCAGAACATCTCAATAAAGGCCAGAATACTTCATTCCTGATGTTATATCCTACCCTTAACAGAAATACCTAAAACACTTAGAAACATGAAACCCCACTAAGGGTTTCTGGTTCTTTGACTAAAGAAAGTTTCACCTACACCCGTACTAGACAGGTTTTTTTGTTTGGTGTCCTGGAGCTTTCTCCATTTGGAACAGTGCACGGTAGTAAAGCTCAGGATAAGTCCAAAGTAGGGTTCATTTGTTTGTTTTTAGAAAGTGAGAGGGCAATTGTAAGAGGAAAAAATGGGGCAGGAGTAACCAGCAGGATGTCTTGACTGCTGGAGGTTAACTTTTAACCTAACTTCCACTTCTGTGTTGCATTATGTACGCTGCCAGTGGCAGTGTTCAGTTTAACACAACCTGATCATTAGATTTGCATTGTGGAAAATCAGCACTTAAGTTTTGAAGGTGGCTAAAACTTGATTTTCTCATAATAACAAAACTTTATGTTTGGAACTTCTTTTAGGTTTACCATGAGCTTTAACAGACATAATCTGAAATACTATGTGTTACCAAAAAAACCTAAAAAGGTGGCACTTGATTGTTTAGAATGGATCAGAAAGCATCACCCGCGTGAGTACAACCATGTGATGAATTATGTCTAGAAGTAATAAATAAATGTCTTTTTAGTACCACAATAGAATATATAAAATTGCATGCTAAACATTTCTCATTATGAGAGCACTGACTTGCTATTTATAAAGCAGAATACTGTCTCAGTTCTGAATATTGTAAAATCTCATTTGGTTTGATAACAATAAACCCTAACAAAAAATATTAAATACTTCCTCCCACATTCCTATAATTTGTGGTTTCAATGTCTTTCCTCTGGCTTCTATCAATGTATGAATTTAATTACACAGGTCTTTGTTGTAGTGTGTTCTCCCAAGTGTGTCTGCCATTAAATTATAATAGTAAAAATGAGATTCATGGTAGTTTTCCATGTAACCCACTTTCCATGGAGAATTTTTTTGTTCTTGTTAAATACCTTTTATTTATAATTACATTATATATTATTTCAAAATTTCCTGTCTTCATTAGTCCCCTAATTTTGGCCATTAAATTTTTTCTAATTTTTAAAATTCAAATAAAACTTTTCGCATAAGTCCTTGTGCCACTTTATTTTCTAGGTTAGTTTTCCAGAAGGAAACTGAATCAAAGGGTAGAAGCATTTCTGCGGCCTTGATACATATCGCCGTACGCTTTGTACAAGTTTGTGTAAGGGCGCCTTCCCATGTTTTAGCCAGTGTGAAATAGAGCCCCGGGTTTGTCCAGGTCCACCTCAAGGGCCGTTTGGAGGGACAGGGTTAAAGGTCAGATCTTGTCATTTTCAGTGCACACGAGTTCCTTGCTTGTGCTACTCTACCTACGTGATCTTCCTCTACTGTAAGAAAACTATGGAGGTCTATTGTGTTTCATATATTTCAGAAGACATAATGTAAATTGTGTTGTTACTTATGTTACAAGTCCTTGTTTCTTGGCAGATGATTCAGGGATAATTTACTGCCTCTCCAGGCGAGAATGTGACAGAATGGCTGACACTTTACAGAAGGACGGGCTCCCTGCACTCGCTTACCACGCCGGCCTCAGTGATTCCGCCAGAGATGAAGTGCAACACAAGTGGATCAACCAGGATGGCTGTCAGGTGACATTTTTAAGATACATAAATAATTTTTATAGTATATAGACAAACTTGCACATGTAGAATGAAAATTGTCTTTACTGTAAGTAGTAAACATCAAAAGAAGACTGAAATTGAAAAACAGATTTTTTTTTTTAAGACTTCTAAAGTGGCTTTTTCCTTCTTAAGTCAAAAATTTTTTTAATTGAAGATATAATTCACAGACCAAAAAATTCACCCTTTCAAAGTTTACAAGTCGGGGTTTTAGTGTAGTCACAAGGTTATGCAACCATCACCACTAATTCTAGAACATTTCATCATCTTAAAGAAACCCATATCCATTAGCAGTCACTCCACTCCCCAAACCCTCCATTTCCTGGCCGACCATTAATCTACTAGCTGCTCCTAATCTGTCTGTAGATTTTCCTTTTCCGGACATTTCATATACATGCAGTCATACAGTATGTGTTCTTTTGTGACTCATTTCTTTTACTTATCATAATGTTTTCTTTATATATATATATATTTATGTATGTATGTTTTTATTGATTTCAGAGAGGGGAAGGGAGCAGGAGAGAGAGATAGAAACATCAAGAGCCTCATATCTGAAATGTGAGCGTGGAGTTGATCTCAGCGTTATCTTTAATAGTAAACACCCTAATAGCTATTTACCTCTCAATAGCCTGAGTGTCCTGAGAGAATGATTGGGCACATTGTGGTCCTATATCCCTGCCATTACAAATGCTTTATGAAGGCCCTGGCCAGTCTGGCTTAGCGGTGAGAGCGTCGGCTTGTGGACTGGAGGGTCCTGGGTTTGATCCAGCCAGGAGTAGATACCTGGGTTGCAGGCTCGGTCCTTGGACCCAGTCCGGGCGCGTGCGGGAGACAACTGAACAGTGTGTCTCTCTCACATCAATGTTTCTCTCTCCCCCTCCCACTCTCTGAAAAGCAATGGAAAAAATATCCTCCCTCAAGTGAGGATTTTAAAAATGATAATAATTTTTTAAAAAAGAAAAAAGTGATTTATGAAGAATTTTTTCATGGTATGAAAATGTTCAGATGTTCAGGATGGAGAAAGGTAGTGAAAAGTAGAATTCAGCATATAGTCTTACTGTTGTGTAATCTCACCTGTAAAAAAGAAAACTGAACAGAAAAATAGACAAAGAAAAAAACTGATTTTTTTCAACTCTTAAAAATCTTTATATATAGTATAAAAATTCCACAATATACATGCATATGTATACAATATATGTATAAAACACTTTGATCGAAAATATGGTTTTAAAAAAATTGGTTAAAAACTTTTTTTTTTAATCTAATTGTTTTCTGCTCTGAGTTGCGCTGACCCTTGGTCAGGGTATAACAACATAACCAAATGCATGGCCTCGGCCTTGTTAGGTGTGCGGTGGTTTTTCTTCACAAAGAAATGATTGTAGCCTGAAGTTTTAAAAGTAGTACAGAAATAAAGAAGGAAGTAACAGCTGAACAAAGCCCGTTTTCTGAGGTAAGGGCTTTCAGAAAGAGTTGGCGTCACTGGTGGCCTTGGTGGCCTCTAGTCATGTACCCACCCCACCTAGGGCTTCTTGGAACGCTGTGGGCTGGGACATATTGCTCCAGAGTCTCTCTACCTGCTCTCCACCACTAGGGGCTACCGTAGACTTTCTCTTTCCAAGGAGATTTGTCTTTGATGAAAGAAAGTGCCATAAATTTAGGTGGATGACTAACCTAGACTGCAGGCTGTTGCCTCCTGCAGCGTTGATAAACGTACCCATTTGCTGTCTACGTGCTCCTTAGCACGTACTCACAGTTATGGAGATTGTGTCATTAGCCTCAGTCTGGCTGCCAGATAGTTCAGTTGCTTTTGAAATACCATTTTTGCAGTAGCAACTTAGTTTTTTTAAGTGCTAAAAAAAGACTTGCAGCTTTATTTGTATAATGTAATTTTTCCTGGAGATATAATATTTATCTCTGGGTTACATAGGTCCTAAATTTGCAACTGACAGGGATATTCTTGAAAATGATTTTTTACTAAAAACTGATTTATCAAACTCCTAAAATTTAACTATCACCTTGCTTCAACTAAGTAATTTGTATAGGCTAAGAACAAGGGACTCCAATCTTTTTTTTTCTAGTGTAAGCAACTCTCACACTTTTACCCACATGAGTTCCGATAAAAACTTCATTTTGACTTTGAAATTCAGCTGCTGTCACTGGGAGAGTGGATGGTATGCAATGAAACAGGTGAGAATGTCATTGTTTCTGAATCATTGGAAAAGCTGGTACTAGTGACCTCTGAAAGCTCCAGCACTGGGATACCCGAGCTCCTGAGCAACACGTTTCTGATCACTGGCCCGGATGCCCTGGCAGTGTGAGCAGCACCCCTCATACCACCTCATCAAAAACATAAGAGAACAAACAGTGACAGCACATTGAGAGCTGATCGCTATTGATTCTGTCTCCCTCACCTGATGATACCAAGTTACACATAAAGTGACTGCCACACAGAGCTTCTCTTGACCTTGGGTCTTAATTAGACTGCAAATTGCCAGTATGGAAATCTCGTATTAGTCGTGCTAAATAATGGGACCAAGTTAAGATATTAGATTGTTGTATAGAGTACATTTTAAAGCAACATAGAAGATAAAGCTTTTAGGAACATGTGTTATTAAAATGACTTTTTTAATGCGTTATGAGTCTAACTGGCTTTTGCTCTTGCATCAGGTTATCTGTGCGACAATTGCATTTGGAATGGGGATTGACAAACCCGATGTGCGATTTGTGATCCACGCGTCCCTCCCTAAGTCCGTGGAGGGCTACTACCAGGAATCCGGCAGAGCTGGAAGAGATGGGGAAGTATCTCACTGCCTGCTTTTCTATACCTACTATGATGTGACCAGACTGAAGAGACTCATACTGAGTAAGTCCTCTCCAGGCTCATGATAGTGGCAGTCTACTGCTATTGTGGTACTTTGGGTCCAGTTACTGAAAAATAGAGGTGCTTATATACATATGGAAGTTTTTAATATCATACAAATCTTCATCGTCAGGAATGAAGGTTTGCAAAATTTCAGCTACTCCTGACAATCTACATTTATACCTATAAAACTAATATCTTAAAGGGTGAGCATAAATATTCAGTTAATTATACAGAATCATGTCATGTTAATATATAATGCTATTAGTAATTATTTCACTTAATATTTAAAGTTATATGAATCTATTCTAAATATTTCTATGCTATTTTATGTTTCTACTCTAATAAGTACGTTTTGCCATGTTCATTTCTTTTAGTGGAAAAAGATGGAAACCGTCATACAAGAGAGACTCACTTCAATAATCTGTACAGTATGGTACATTATTGTGAAAATATAGCAGAATGCAGGCGAACACAGCTTTTGGCTTACTTTGGTGAAATTGGATTTAATCCTGATTTTTGTAAGAAACATCCAGATGTTTCTTGTGATAATTGCTGTAATACAAAGGTAAAATAAGAAAAAAAAAGTTTTCTTTATTTAGAAAAGTTAGATGAAAGATGGATTTGAGAATTAGTTTTCCCATCTTCTCAAGCTAAGCCTTCTCGGTCAATGAACCTTTCCTCACTACAGAAAAAAGACAAGTTAGATGAAAACAGTGGCCCCTAAGGAATTAAGGTAAAGATTGCAAAATGCTGAGGTTATGTGCATACACTAATAATTATGGGATAATTTAGAAATATCATTAATCTGTAAATATACAGGAAGTCCAACATGAGCAGATAGAATATTTTCAGCTCAACTCTAATCTATACTAAAGATCTCATCCTCAAGAGAGTTGTAATAACTGGAGTACAGTGTGTTTGAATTTAGATCAATTAGATTCTTCTATAAATTGTTTTTTTAAAAACTGTGACGGATAATAGCAAAAACTTCTGGACGAGTTTGCTGTCATCTGTCCTAAAGATGACGTGGAGTGGAGTTGTTGAATTAAATCATTGGGTACTTCATTAAACCCATTATGGTAACGCTGTGTTTTAGTGTCCGCTCTGCAGCTTACAGAGCATTTACGCATTTGATGATACTCTCTTAAATGTCTCTGTCAGGTGCTAGGGACTTACAAATGAACATGGTGGGGCCAGTTCCGACTGGAGGGGAGACAGCCCTAGGTGTGGTCAGCGCGGTTAGGAAGATACGCAGCACTAGCCGGAACAGAGCCGGACTTAGTCTCTCTTGAGGGTGCAATCTGTGGATTCATGGCCATCTCCACCCACCGCACCCAACTCTGTAGATATTGCTAATCAGTTCACTCATTCGACAAATATTTATTGAGTGTCTGCTCTGTGACAGGCACTGTTGTGGCAGTTTGGGATACATCACTGAACAAAATATAAAGATCCCTGCCCTTGAAGATCTATTCGAGCAGAGGGGGGCTGAGTGCAAACAATACCCATAGTAAGCACATGTTAAGGAGTAAGAACTGTGGTGAAAAGCACGGCAGTGTAAGGAGTCGGGACTAATGGATGGGGTGCAGGGTGCAGTGTTAGGTAAGGTGGCCTGGGGAAGTTTTATTGCCAAGATGACATCTGAGCAAAACCTTGAAGAAGGGAATTAGTGGAGCAGCTCTCTCGATATGGGCATTCCTGGCCGAAGCCAAGAACAACAGCTCTAAGGGCAGGGCATGCTTGTGTGTTTGAGGGAGCAGGGGAGCCCGTGTGGTGAGCGGGACTGGGAGTTAGCTGGGGAAGGGGTCCTGGCAGGCCAGGGCAGTAGCTGGAGGGCTAACTCAAAGAATGGAGTGACCCTCGGCTGAGATGTGTGGGTGGCTGTCTGGCAGGGAAATCTGGAGTTCAGTTTGGGGCGTGTTGAGTTAGATATGTCCATTAGATCCAGAAATTCTGAGAAGAGGCTGGTGATGCATCTACATTTGGAAGTGTTTAGCTTATAGAGCTTATTTAAAGCCATGAGAGCAGGTGAAGTCTTCAGGAGTATAAGCTTAGAAGAGAAGAAAACCAAAGATCGACCCCCTCGGGACTTTAAGAGATTGAGGAGAAGAGGAAGCAGTAGGAACAGAGATCAGGGAAGAACTAGCGAGATAAGAGGAAAACCAAAGGAACAGTATTTCAGGGAGGAGGGGCTGCTAAGTAGTGAGATGCTGCTGCTAAGCCAAGTTCAGTCAGGACTGAGAATTCACCACTGGATTGGCACCGCAGGAAGCACGGAGACAGGGAATATATAGACCTCTTTCAAGTTTCCTTCAAGGATGAACAGAGAAATGAAACAGTAGCCGGCAGGGGAAATGGATTCAAGAAAAGACGGGAGAAATAAACATCTGTGCGCAGATAGGAACACACCTCCAGAAGGTGGCTGTTCGGTGTGGAAGGAGGGGAGAGTTGCAGAAGCGATGTTCTTGAGTGGGCAGAGGGGTCGGGACCTAGTGTATAAGGAGAGAGGTTGGCTGAGACAGGAGCTTGGGTAGTTCATCTATGATAACAGGCGAGATGAGAAAATGTGGGGCAGGTGCTGGCGGTAGATGTGGTGGAGGAAGTTGGTGAAATCTCTCCTGATTGCTTCCGTTTTCTCAATAGGAAGAAGGTCATCTGCTGACTAGCTAAGAGAAGGGACTGAACAGAGGGGAGAAAGTAAATAGTCATCTAGCACAGAGAGCAGCAGACTTTATCTTTCAAGTCCAGAGAGCAAATATTTTAAGCTTTTGGGCCTTAGAATTCCAGCCTCTGTCACGACTACTACTCCACTCTGCTGCTTTAGCCCCAGAGCAGACATAAGCAATCAATGCATCGATTGTCCATGGCTGTGTTCCAACAAAATTTGATTTACACAATCCAGGTGTGTAGCACGTGGGCCATGGTTTGCTGACTTCTAAGAGAAAGGGGGTGATGGACTGAGGATGTATGGAGATTACCAGGCCGCATTAAGAGTCCACTTGAGGTTTGTGGCCACGTATTGAAACAGCAAACAGTCATTGTGGTTGTGTGTGTCTCCAGCCAGTTTAGCTGCAAAAGTGCAGACATAGATGGTGGAAAACAACACCTAATGTGTTCTGTCAGGCAGCCTGATGCAGTGGCCTAGGGCAGGGGGTTGAAGGTGTAGGAAAGGTAGTGTTATAGTGTCTGGAATTCAAGCTGAGTTAAGCCAACATCTGAGGATGGGGGTTGCTGAAGTCAGAATTCTAGATGGTATGAGTTGAAAAGGTAGAAGGTGGTGGTCAGAGGATGAAGGGTGGCTGTTACTAGTTTGGCAAAAGAAGTAGGTGTGACCATGGGAGCGAGTTGCTGACGTGTATGGACAGGATCACTGGAGCAGAGGAGAGAAGATGCTGAAGACCGAGGCGTGGGAGGGTCATCTCTGTACTAAGTCACCAAGAAGCAAGGCAGGAATGATGGGGAGAGAGACAGGGCCCTCTTTTCTGATGGTCCTAGGTAGAGCCTCAGAGTCACGACCAGAAACCCACAGGTCTTCAGGTTGCGAAATGTGGCAGATGAACAGGAGATAGTAGAAAGATAGACTGCTGTCGGGTGACTGAAAGACAAGATGTATGTCTGTGAAACATAATAAAATAGGTACAGGACAGTGTTCATTGTTCTAGCCACGAGGTTAATAGAAGAGCTTAGGAAAGAATAACTTTTGAAACTCCCCTGGTTTTGGGTCTGGAAACAGTTGATCATGACACTACTAGTTAGTAAACCCTAGCAATCTAGGCATCAGTATCTCAGTTACCACAGAAGGTAATCTCTTTTTATACCTAGGATTATAAGACACGAGATGTGACTGACGACGTAAAAAACATTGTAAGATTTGTTCAAGAACATAGTTGGTCACAAGGAATGGGAAACACAAAGCATGCAGGCCCTTGTGGGAGATTTACAATGAACATGCTGGTCGACATTTTCTTGGGTAAGTCATCTCCTTTATTAGTTTACATTATATCAGTTGAAATGGAACATCTAAAAAATTCTCTTATCTGTTTTCTTATAGATGTGAAGGGTTTCAGAATAACACCTTTTTTGACTAACGAAAGTCAGTTTTTACGAATTAAGCCAATTTTTAAATTTCTTTTAGAAAGAAACCACTTTATGTGTTTTGTTTTGTTTCATTGATTTTTAGAAAGAGGACAGGAAAGGGAGAGAGAGAAACATCGCTCTCTGCCTCCCACACGCAGCCTGACCAGGATCAAGCCCAAAACCTGGGCATGTGCCCTGACTGGGAATCGAACCAGCAACCTTTCAGTGCGCGGGCGGACGCTCAACTAACAGCCACACCAGCCAGGGATCTGCCAATTATTTTTATACAGTTTATATGTCACTAAGATGAGGAGTTCTCACATACAAAAAAGAAAGTAATAAAACTTACACAGTTTAGTCAGAGTGGAATATAAGTTGCCTAGAGAATTACCTGTGGGCTGACTTTCAGTTCAAGAGGTCAGCCTGAGCATAAGTATCTGTCTCTTTTTTTGCCTGATGCCATGTTAAAATAATAGTAAGGAAATGACACGAGGAATTAAGTCTATAGCGGCATAGAGAGCCGGAGGGAAACCACATCAGGTTGAGGAACTGGATGGAAGCCTGTTGACAGATGGAATGAAGCACAGTAAACCATGACGCAGAATAAATGTGGGAGACAGTAAAAGCAGAGGAGGGCTATCAACCAGGCAAACCCCTTATCAGTAGGCCTCAGGCTTGAAGTCTAGAGGCCCAGGGAGTGGGAGTGAAAGCTGGGGAGCCCAAAATAGGAGGGGGCAGTTAAAAGAGCCTGCCCACCAAATAATTGCATTGAATATCAGCTTGGCATTGATTCTGAAACAAAAATAAACTGCCTGAGGACTAGAAAGGCAGCTGAGTCAGGGGAACCTAGGGGGCACCCAGCCCACCTAAAGTCTGATCCTACCTACGCACTGTAAGGCAAACCTGGTAACTGGATATCCCCATTCAGGGGAGGAATTTGAGGGGACATAGACTAGATGTAAACTAACAGGAGATCCACCCAAGTAGGTTAACTTGGTCCCTGAAGGTTAGATAAAAATGGGCAATCGAGAGGAAGACCGAGGAAATGCAGTGTTCGACCCTGGGGGTAGAGGGCACTTAGAAAATAGTCAGTAGCCTTGGGGAGAGGGGAGAGGAAACTTCATCAGTGTCTTCACAGAGACTTCAGTAGAAATGGGACGTTTTGGAAAAGAAACGAATGAGAGCTATAAATGTGGAAAGGCTGGAAGAGAAAGTCTAGGAAATCTCCTGAGACCCAGGCAGAAATATGTGGAAAAATGAGAATAAATGTAACGATCAATTCTTAGGAAATGTGAAATCTCACAAATAACATTTTTGAGATAGAAAGTAGAGGGAATCACCAAACCAGTGATATAAGAAAATTTCCCAGAGGGGAAGCAAAAAAGGCCTTCAGATTAAAATGCCCACTGAATGCCAGGACAGAGGCTTTATGAGGTGAGGTATAAGGAAAAAAAGAAAAGAAAAAACCCCTAAAAACAAAAACGGAAGAAAGAGAGACAGAGAGACAGAAAGAAAGAAAAAAGAAAAAAGATATTACGGAGGGGAAACTGTCAGTATTAAGGGCCTGCAAATTATCCATAGACAGATTTAATCATGTATTACGGGAGTTCAGAGGAAAAGATACCTCAAAGGGTCAGTTAGACTTCGGGGCGTAAACACCATCTTAACAAGGGAAGGGCGGGCAGAAAGGACAGTCATGGGAAAACAAATGTTGTTTTGAAGATAAATGGGCCCTTAGGAGAATAGATGGCAGGGAGATATGATCATTTTTGTGACGCTGTCTATTTAGATGTGACGTGAATAATCTGATGATAAGAGTCAGTCATCCCTGGTTGCTCCCAGGGAGGGGATTTAGAACACTTGGTTGAGTTCTTCTGGGGGTCTGTGCTTGAGATTTTGGGAATTCAAATGCCTTTTGCTCAATAATTTTTATGTCACAGTGGCATATTCTGGACCTCTTCACTGATGGTCCTGAAAGCTTTGGAAAGTAAAAACAGAAACCAGAACCAAACTGGCATCAGATTAATATCAGCAACTCTGGAGACTAGAAGGCAAAGAAAGTGAGTGCACATCCTATGATACCATACACAAAGGGCCTGCCGAGGGGTCCAGTGAGGAGAAATCCCAGAAACACGGCCATGCAGCAGGTCCAGTAGCAGTTTGTGCTGATGATAACAAAGTCAAGAAAAATCAGTCACAAGCGATATAGAGCAAGAATAAGAAATGAAATCGTTTCATGATGGTGAAGTACAAAAATGTTACTTTTCAACAAAAAAGTGAGAAAGGCGCTTAGCAACTCTGGGGGAAAGATTATACTGGAGGGAGGGCCAAGGTCAGATGTAAAACAAAGGAAATTGTTACAAGATTTTGAGTAATTGATAAAATCTACCAAAAAAAAAAAAAAATCCGTTTGTCTGGATGCAGTAAACATCCTCCTCGGGGTTACACAAGAGTCAACATTCCAGGGAAACTTGTCAACACTGTAGATTAGCTACAACAGTTGGAGTCAACATATAGACTTAAGCATGGTTAGAGAGCAGCACAGGATGTAGGTGTTAATCTTGGTGATATAAAAACAAATACAGTAAATAAGAATAAAAGAAGGGAGTACACAGAAGGCTTGAGAGGCTAGTGTTTTACATGGAGGGGAGGAAGAGTGGTCAGAAGTTCTAGCGAAAGTTACAGAAATATCGAATAGATGAACCAGTATTATAGAAAAATTTGAGCCAGAGTAGAGTGATGGGGGTGGTATACATGAGATAAAGCCTTGTCTTTCATAGTCGGGGGTCAGTAGGTAAATGTCAGGTGGTGACTGGCTAGAGGGACGACAGCGGGGGTGAGGGTTCGTTGCGGAGGTGAACCACAAGAGCTGAAAACAAAAGCTGTTTAAAAAGTGATTGTCTTGGAGAAGGGAAGTGAGGCTGGGGAGGGAAAGGGTGGGACGGGAACGTTGCTTTTAATTATAAACCCTTCTGTACTATAGTCAATTTTTTCCCATGTATTACATTAATTAAATATATAAAGCAATTAAGAGGTTCATTCACTTTTTTTTTTTTTTAATTGATAGCCTGGATTGGAGTAGGAAGGTGGTTTGCTCAGTGTCCCAGCTCTTTCCTCTGGGTCTGCCCTTTCTGGATTCTGGCTCCTCCTAGTTTGGACTTTTCTCAGGGGGAGCATAGGATTTCAGATAAAATAATTTATTGTAAGAGTGATACACGGTCACTTAACATTGCAGTGTGTACAAAACCAAAAAATACAAATAACTCCAGAAAAAACTGCTAGTGTTTGCTCACAGTCACATTGTTATCACATTGTACATATAATTTATATCATTTTTATATAGCAGTATGTAACTATTTTCTTAATTTTCTATTTTAAAGTAGTTTTTAATTTATATTTTGTCGTGTTGATGAAATGTATCTAAGTAGTTTGTTTTAGGATGTATTTTTCTATTATAAATAATGGTGTGTTCTGTAGCCTTTTAAAGTACACCTTCAGCTACATTTCTGATTGCACATTTCACTTAGATTCCTAAAGAGATTACTAAATCAAACATATTTCTGACATTCTTCAGTCTCTCATTAGCTCTTTTATGTTTTTAAGAAAAGTATTTGTTTCATCCAGCTTTCCTAGTCATCCTCAGCATGAGGGTTGGTCCACATCACCCAGCTCACCATGACCAGAGCAGTTGTCCTGATCCCAGGTGACATTTCAGTAGATCAGTTACAGATCATTCAGTGTGTGTGGCCAGAATCATCCTGAAATTTATAATAATGTAATTATTTGAAACTCTTAAAATAGAGCTATAACTTGACAGAGTAACTGTTAATTCTGATCATAATCAGTGTCACAAGGCTTCCTGAGTAGATTGTTATCCTAAAATTATATTTATGATGAAGACATTAGTAATTACAGCAGCTGGATGTGAAACCAAAGATCCAGCCCAGGGTGGTGCCCTCAGCCAGCGGGGAAAGTAGGAGGCCTGCAGCACTACGGATGGTGTGCTTTTGGTTTGAAACTTGCGTGGGCTTAATTCGGGAGGGTGACGGCAAGTATGGACTTAAAACTTGGATTGTGAATGAGTCGTGATTTCAATACAGGACCAAACATTTTTTCTAACTAGGTCAATAATGCAGGCAACCTAATGGAGCACAGTGATAGGAAGCTATAAAAGTTTACAAAAACTCTGACTTTGATTTCTTTGCTCTAATGTAATTTTATAAGCTGTAAATGCAACATCCTGAATGATAAACGTAATTTTGCCGCTGTTTCTGGTCAACATGTTATAAAAAGATGAGGGAAAGTACGCACAGCTGTAGACATTTTAGAGATCCCCTCGAATAGTCTCATTTTATGGGAGTGGGTGGGTGTCTGTGCTGTGGGTTTTCCTGATTTACTCCGTTTATCCAGACCTGCCCGTAAGTGACCTTTTCAAGTCTCTTCTATTAAGAGGGTTACGATGTACCTGCATTTACTAGTCCAACTTTTACCTTCTCACCAGGGACTAAGAGTGCAAAGGTTCAGTCGGGGATATTTGGAAAGGGGTCCGCGTATTCACGACACAACGCTGAAAGGCTTTTTAAAAAGTTGATACTTGACAAGATCTTGGATGAAGACCTACTTATCAACGCCATTGACCAACCCATTGCCTATGTGACGCCTGGAAGTAAAGCCCAAGCTTTACTAAATGGGCATTTAAAGGTATGGTATTTAAAAGGTTTACTTCATTTTATTATTTCACAGTGAGTAGACAAAAACATTACCGCAAATTCAACTGTCTTTTTCAAAGCTTATGGATACAGAATTTATTTATACTGTCCTGTATGAACGTAATCTGTTCCTCTGAATTTGTAAGGAGATCTCAAAATGGAACCCAAGTAATGAAATATCTGTCAAAGTGAATTTAATGGGTTATCAGATCACTAAATTGTTACATGTTACTTAAACATTTATCAAGAAGCAGCTCTGTGCCTGGCTGGGGGTGGCTCAGCGGTTGAGCATCGACCTAGGATCCAGGCGATTGGGGTTCGATTCCCGGTCAGGGCACATGCCCGGTTGTGGGCTTGATCAATGACTCTCATCACTGATGTTTCTATCTCTCTCTCTCTCCCTCTCCTTTCCTCTCTCTGAAATCAATAAAGATATATTTGAAAAAAAAGAAGCAGCTGTGTGCTTGGCACTGGAGATAAAAATATGGGGAATGCACAGCCCATTCCCAGGGGGCTTACTGTCTACTTGGCGTAACAGAACTATCCCCCCAAAATGCAATGAAGCATTAAATAAAGCCCCTGTTTTGATACAAGTGTGATCTTATGATCTCTTTCTCTTTCTCTCTCTCTCTTTCTCACACATACACACACAAAGGTAGACTTTATGGAAACGGAAAATTCCAGCCGTATAAAAAAACAAAAAGCCTTAGTGACGAAGGTATCTCAGAGAGAAGAGGTGGTTAAGAAATGCCTTGGAGAACTCACAGAAGTCTGCAAATCTCTGGGGAAAGTTTTTGGTGTCCATTACTTTAATATCTTTAACACTGCCACTCTCAAGAAGCTCGCAGGTAGGTGTGTCTGAGTCTTCTGTTACATGGCATAACAGCCTCCTTAACGCACCCGAATCCATCTCTTTTCATCTCCGCTGCTACATCCTAATTCGCTGCATCCTGGCTTGCTTTTCCGTGGCTCCCACTGCGCTCCCAGTTTCCAATCTTTCCCTTATAATCCGTTTTCCATACAGCAGCCAGAGTGATCTTTAAAATGACAGGTTTGTCCAGCTACCAGACTGATGTGCCATCTGTGTGCAGAGGACTCAACAGCCTACTTGTTAAAGTCAGACTACCCGCTTCACCCCCCAGGCTGAAAGACTGCAGGAAGAACGGGTTTGGGGGCGGGGGGTGTAAGGGTTTGGGTACAGTCTTCCTGAGTAGGATATTTAACTCTGGAGTGCAGGGGAGAAGTCAGAGCTGGAAACGTGAGTGTGGGAGTCTCCTAAACAGCCTTGGTTGTGAGAACACAGCAAAGTCAGCTTAAACTCTGAGGCACAGCGCACAGGTCTCCCCTCCAGTTTCCCCCATGTCCTTACTCTGTCTCCCTCTCTGCCCTGACTTAATGTACCTTTGCTGCTGGAATTGGATGATGGGCTCCTACCCTCTGGGCCTGTCTGCTGCCTCTCTTAGCACCAACTGCCTTGTAGAAAATTGGCCCATGTGCCTGGTGCTCAGCAGTTGGTTGGCACCGTTAACAAACGTGCTGAATGGGTGGATGAGCATGAGTTCAGTGTGTTTTCTATTGGTGGTAATTTAAATTCCTGATTTTATCTTCATGCACAGAATCTTTATCTTCTGATCCTGAGGTTTTGCTTCAAATTGATGGTGTCACTGAAGACAAACTGGAAAAGTACGGTGCAGAAGTAATTCCGATATTACAGAAATTCTCCGAGTGGGCGTTGCCAGGTTCAGTATACAGCCAGATGTGTGTTTTCTAAAAGCCTGTTTTAATGTTAATCGATGTGTCTCACTGGATTGGATTTCCGTGGTTTCCGGTGTCTTCGTGTCTCCTACACCTAGTCGCCCTAACGCTCACGTGGCCAGCGCAGTCCTCAGTGGTGTGCCAGGCACCACTTACAGGGCACCCGTGCTTAGTCCCTGGGGGTGCCATCTACTAACCTGCTAATAGGACCCAAGGAGGACCTTTGAGCCCAGAAGTTGCTGATTCTGTTCAGGCAAATACCTGAGGAATCCAGAACGCTGGGTGCAGCTCCCAGGATGCCGTGATCTCACTCTGTAGTCCTTGGCTGGCCACCAGCAACCTCTTTGTGTTTCAGTTTCCTTAACTGAGAAAGGAACATGTTATCTGAAAAGCATTTCTAAAGATAAAATGTAAGAGTGGAGTTTAAATATTTTGGGGAAATGGACATGGACTTGTCATGTTAGATAATCTCATTGTCGTTAGCCATTGAAAGAATTTCCAAGTGAGTGCATCACTAGCACATGTTCCCAAAGGTTACATCAGGCCTGTCACGAAGCACCTCTAATGACAAGCCTCCTCACTGAGCTACAGAAAGCGATGACTAAGAGACAAATGAGAAGAAAGGATGTCGGAGGTGGGACAAATGCAGGCGTCTGTGGCCTCCTCTCACATACCGTGCCACGGACACAACAGACAGGCCACGCTCAGTGTTTATCCTGTTCTGTAAGGGATCTCGGTAAGGGTTTCTTGTCAAGACTCATGGAAATAGTAAGCAGGCTGAGAAATGAGCGAGCATGCATTTCAAGTTCTGTTTATAACCATGTTTTATCCATTAACAAAATGCTTAAAAGTCAGGTTTTCATAAATTCCTCTGCATAGTCATTATTCCATTACAGGCCTTGGTCTGACAGCAGTGACAGTCTCGTAGGAACTTCATGTCTGTTTAGTACAGTACCTTGTTTGGAAGGGTTTTTCCCACATGAGACAGGGCTGAGCCAATGTGATGACGGTCACTGTCCCTATTGAGGGACAGGCACCATGCCAAGAGCTTCGTCTGTTTTGTATCACTCAGTTCTCACTACGCCCATTTTACAGGTGGGAATGAGTGAGGCCTTTTCATATCCCCAAAGTCCCACTCTGGGATGGCAGCGCTCTTTGTCCCGGCTCTGGTGCCTTTCTGTGTGAACCAGTGTTGGAGGGACAAGGCCCTTCCTGCCCCTCCTGCTGGGGAGCAGGGCAGCCTGAGGGTGAACCAAACCAGCCAGGAAATACCTTCTTTCAGGAAATACAGAGGGACCACTATTGACCTTTGGAGGTTTCATGTTCCCCTGTGTGGGGACACAAGTACCCGTGTAAGTCACCATCTTCTTTAAAGGTGCGCTTGCACACGACCCATTTCCTGCGCGGTGTGTGAACCGTTAGCAGCTGTTACGCAAAGAGGCGCTTTTGTCTGTGAAAAGTAAAGTATGGTTTGACACTCATTTGCTAAGTAACTGCTGTCCAAAAGTGAGGTGCAGAGCAGCATAGTTTATGTTTCTCTTACGTTGGGTTATTTTCTGGGCATGTGTAAAGTGATACATAAAATTATCTTGTATGTAGCACGTTATGCTTTTCAAGGAGCTGGACAGGATTAACTGTCCAAATAGTAACGGGCGTGGGTCACACACACAGTCTGAGCTAGACCTGAGGGCTCTGATTGAGAGTATTGCAGATTTTTTAGTGCATTGTGATACTCTTTCTTTAAAAAAACAAATTGCCATTGAGTACTTTGGGGCTTTGTGAAGTGAAAAAAAGAAAAAGAAATGTTCAGTTCTTACGGGACTGTCAAATCCCTGTGGCAAGAATACACCAGGGAGGCAGGTGGGTGTCCGCTGAACGGGCCCGTATTGTGTGTCTCCGTTAGACTAATGACACTGGGACCCGGAGGCATCACCGGTAAATGTGTGCACTGTCCATTTTAGCCGAGGACAGCTCCCCACGGGTGAGCCCGTCCAGCAGCAGAGGCGCTGGGAGAGACGGCTCTGAGGACTTTGGCGAGGAGACACCCATATCTTCTCACTACTTCGCAAATAAAACCAGAAATGAAAGAAAGAGGAAGAGGGTGCCAGCCTGCTCGAGGTCGAAAAGAAGAAAATCTGGTTTTGCTGATTTCAAGGCAAAAGCGTAAGTTCTGCGCCGTGTCCTGCGGTACAGGGTGTGAGGGACAAAACAGCGCAGCCCCGGCCCCTGCGAAGCGGTTCCTGAAATGAGCACGATTAAACGCTGCCTCTCGGAAAGGGGGTGGAGATTAAGGTTTGATCCGACATTTGTTTCCCGCTCTTAAAATAATCTACTCCTGAGTCGATTATAAAATTTTCTAGTTTGCAAAAACTCCAATTTTGACCTTAACTTATAGAAAAAATTTTAAGAGACCTTTCCACTGAAAATAAATAAAGGTTTGTTTCCCCGTTGCTGTTAGGGTTCTGTCAGCACTGGCCCAACTGCTTTTATTACAGCAGAATCTGCCGGCCTCCACCTGGAGGCCCTGCACACTCCTGCCATTCATCCGTACCTGGGAAAGCCAACCTCCCAGTCTTTGTGGGGCAGCAGAGAAGAGGCCAAAGTAGGAAAACCGAAAGTTCAGGGCCAGGCGCTAGGGACCGCGTGGGTGGCTCTCACCTTCCCTTCCTGTGTGCACCTGCCCCCTAAGGCTGGGACACGTCTGCTGTGGGCGCTGTCTGCACACCAAGGGGAACAGAGACAGCCTTGCTGGGTGCTGGGTGGTGATCTGGGCAGCTCGCATGTTTCTTCATAGCTGCACTGTTTCTGACGGCCCCTTTCCTGTCTTCTGCAAGGACTCCCTCTGTCCTCAGCATGTAGGTGAGGCCTGGCAGGGTCGTGACCACCCCATCAGTCTGGACGACTGCACCGTACAGCACAGTGTCACAGAAATGCTTGCAGAAAAGGGAAACAAGTCCTTAGTAAATTTCTGAAAGCTGTTGTGTTTTTCTTTTGCAGTTTTTGTAATTCTTTTCCTTCTGAGTAATAAAAAAACAAAAAAATTGAGTTGGGGAAGAGGGGGGAAGGCAAATGTTACCAAATTGTCACTTTCTTGTTAAGTTCGTAAATAAACATCTTGTATGTGCTAATCCTTCTGCCAGGGTACAGAAATTAGAGGCATTAGTAAATGTTAGTTTAATTTTGTGGTTTTTAATGCGCAAGTGACCAGCAGATGTTCTTCAGTGGGGACATTTTATTTTCTTCATTTATTCCTCCGTTTTGGGAAATACTTATTTCCTCAGGAGCCCACACAGAGTAAGAGTCCTTAAAAGGCATCTGGTCCAGCCCCCGGGGTTTATGATGAGGAAGCTGAGGACTCGCCTGGGGAAGGCTTCCACAAGGTCGTTCCAGCCTGGGCTCAGTTTCACAGGTAGCACTGGACACTGGCTCGCCTATGGCTGCCCAGAGCACTTTCATGTCTGCACGTAATCCATGGAGAGTCCTTAGAAATGATTATGATCTTCTCCTTTTTACTTGTTAGAACACAGCAAACCATATTTCCATGCCCATTGCCATTGGCTTCCCTTACTCAGTTTCACAACTTTTGTTTACAAGAGTGAAACACTGCCCTGTGGCCCAGAACCTGATCTAATAAGAGGTAGCAAAGCTCACACTTGCCCAAAAGCCAGTCCCAATTTTTATGCTGGTTTTTAATCAGCCTCTGTGTCTATGATGGGTTTCTTCTCTGGTCCCTACTGCCCAAAAACAGTAAGTTCTGTCACTTTCTTTTACCTTAGTAACGGCCTCTTTGTGTCTGTGCTTCATTCTCATTCCCACTGATCTTCTCTGAAAGATGCCCAGTTTCTACTCTGCTCACCTGTTAAGAGCCTCTGCACAGTGACAGAATCAACGTGGCTCTTTGCCAGGGTCCTTAACTCTCCACCCTACCTTGGAGCTTTACCTCTTCAGAATGACACACAGTGAATGAGCTGTGTTCCCAAGTTGTGTTCCCAGCTCTCTGAGTGTGATAAAATGGATGGCCTGGGTGAGATGGAGGCTGCTGCTGGCAGATTCCTTCTGTAAACCAACATAAACAGCAGGTTTTTTGCTCTGGGCTTAATATCTCAGCAGGAAATCTGCATAGGGAAATTCAGGGCTGCTTCTCTGCTGGTTTAGTACAACTTGGCCAGTTCTGTGGTAACACTGCCCTGGAGCAAGAGTTTAACAATGTTGAAAATCTACTCTTCACCTGGTCCCTCCGGAATGTCATTACCACAGACTGGTGGCCACTGAATTCAGAGGTGGGAGGCTACTTGCCTGCCCCAATGTATGGGATTCGTGTTGGGCATGAATGCAGCCTGGTTACAAAGCAGCAGGAAATTCTTGTGTGAGAAAAAGCTTCTATAGAGGTGCTGCTGGCCGTTATCCTTGTAAATATGCGGCCCTGTGGTTTGGTTTTTGTTTTTTCATGTTTCATTTTGAGGGGAGAAAAAAAGAATAGCTGTTAGCCTCAGGCCAGTGAGGGAACTAAGGGGCTGGAAGGACTTTGAACTGGGCTGTGGCACAGCTTCTTCCCTGGCTTTAGAGGCAGCGAGTGGGAGGTGCGAGCACACAGATCTGGGAGTGCAGGCAGTCCAGCAAGCTGCTGGCGACGATGTGGCGACGTGGCCGTGACAGAGACGTGCCAGACCCGAGCCACTCAGAGACCTCCCCAAGGAACCACATCTGCAGCCCTCCCCTGGCTGGGGCCAGGCAGGAAGAGGCTCTGCTCCGCCCCATCTCCACGCACCCAGCTACCTTCCTCTGGACTGTGCAACATAGTAATCGCAGGGTGTCTATTGTCTGGGCATTTGGGGCCTTAAAACAAGGTACCCTCACTCTCTATTTGATCGGAATAGATCTGGGAATGTGGATCTGGGTGGGCTCTGTTGTCCAGAGGGAGGGGGTCTGATTATCAGCTGTGAGAGGTGTGGGTGGAGGGAAGGCACCTGGTTTGGCCTCATGTCTCAGAATTCAGAAACAATCTTTGACATGTTAGGGAGACAAATTTGTGTCAAAAGCAAGCTGTCCTTTCCTCCTTGGATTGTAAAGGAAACTGACCTTCCCCAGGGGGTTTATAGGCAGAGAGACGTGGAAGACCAAAGGGGTTATATAGCTCTTTAGAGAAAAAAGACTCTTCACTTCGGGTTTTATTTAACATTTCCATGTTCTTTGTCACATTTTAGGAGATCCACCACATGCAGAAAGGTATCTCCTCATACTAAGTTCTCCAGCACACTTGGGCCAGTATCAGCTGTGCGTGGTTCTCAGGCGGCATCAGGAGCCAGTAGAAAATTGGGGATTATGGCCCCACTGAAGCCTGTAAATAGACCGTTCCTCAGGCCGACATATGCATTTTCATAACAACCAAATCTTAATGTACAGAGATCTTGTTTGTCAGCATCCGACCATCTGTGAACATAAAGCTGTTAGTTGTTATACCATTTGTAATTTTTACCCGTATCTATTAGTGCTTAAATAAATGCTTGGGGTGACAGTTCTATTTTTAAAATAAACATTTTCTTTTGAATAAGCATGATTTGCTGCCACTGCAAGCCTCGTGGCTGTTGTTTCTGGGAACGTCTGAAACAGCAGCTGAATCATCGCACTGAGAGAAATTGTCAGCACCACACGAGACACAGAAGCTGAAGGAAAGGACACGCGTGGGACATAAAACTGTAAAACTCTCTGTAGAAGACGTAAACAAAAGTAGAAGACAAACAGAAAATAGGAAAAAATATGACAAAGGCTTAATATCTGCAATATACAAAGAGTGCCTATAAATCTTTAAGAAGAGACAGACCAGTAGGAACAAGGTTGTGAATGGGCTCCTCTCAAAAGAAGAAATAAAAATGGCCCACAGATACGTGGGAAATGCTCTCTGCCTAGTTAAAAATATAAAGTAAAACCATGGGATGGCATGGAGATGGCCAGGCATTCTCTTGGTGTCCTTCAGTATTAGGGTGCTTGCCTTTCAAGACCATTATTAACAACCTCATTGGCCAGAAAGTCTTAAAATGGGGCTTTGGCACCTCTTATCGGAGCTCCAGTGCCCCGTTTTCAGAGACATCTTGTTTCTTAGCTGTAAGAAACTTTGGTGACCTGTTTGGTGTCCCACCCCTTGTCTTAACCTCAGTCCAGAGGGGAGAGCTGGGGAGGCCCTGATGGGCCAACAGTGTTAAGGACAATTGGCTGGGAGCCTTGTGGCCTCTGCCTGGAGACTCAGTACTGAGGTGGATCCTGCACCCGCTCCGAGGCGCCACCCTTGGGGCTGCGCACCTACTGATGCCACGTGGCGCCATAGGCTCCACCTTTAGCAGAGGAGACTGGCTGGACAAGAGTCTCCTGAGGGCCGTGCCTGTTAAACCTCAGGATGCCTTCCAGAGCTGACATTTTTTCGAGAAACCATCTTTCCAGCAAGACCTGACTCAAGTGGCCAAAAGAACCATCTTGGGGTGAGAGGAAGTGGAGGGCAAAGGAGCCAGTAGTTGAGGCCGCTGGGATAATGCCCGCAGCGCGAGGTCACCTTGCAGAGTCAGCAGTGCACAAGGGCATCTGGCAGGAGGTCATACCCTTCCACCTACAGTAGTTATGGCTTTGAGGGGTCGGGGACAGCCCCCGTACAGAGCTGATGCCACGGGTGTTGGGTCCCTTCCTGGCTCTGACCTCATCCATTCATTCCTCGACTGAGGGCCTCACCTGCCTGACAGTGGAGACCGATATCTCCTCAGGAGTGTTCACTCTGCCCCCAGGGGCTCCTGGGCAGCGGGGAAGAGGGATTAACGGCAGTGCTGTGGGAGCCCCGAGGATGGAGTGTAGGGCTTTGGGCAGCCAGCACTGCCCGCAGCACCGTCACCTGTCTTGCAGCACAGCCCTGAGGACAGCTGACTCATCCCCACCTCAGCAGGAATCTGAGGCCTGGAGACCTTGGACTAGCCCAGGATCAAATGGCAGAGCCAGCCCCACACCCCGCTCTTTAAAGATGCTATGTTGCAACCGACTCTGTGCAAGTCCTCAGGCCCCAGAGCATGGAGGTGGCCTTCCATTCAGCCTCCAGCCTTCCCAGATGCCCCGGAGAAAGGCGTCGTTCACACGGGGTGGCGCAGGGGAATGGAGCGCACGGACTTGCCCTGACCAAAACTGAGGCCCCTGGCAGCCACAGAGATAGTGACAGCAAAGCTGCTTCTGCCTGGGCCCTGGTGGGGGCTCTCCGTGGGTACAGAAGTCACCACCTGGGAGGAGGGGAGGGGACAAGTCCCACCAGGGACGTCCAGCCTACGGTGCTTCACTGGCCCACCCTGCCCATCACCCTGTGGAGGACACTGGAAGGATCGGTATCTGACTCCAGCTGTACACACCCCCTCCCACCAGGAGAACCCACTCGAGAGAGCTGACAGGTTCTTGCTTTTACCCCCAGGAACAGGGAACCCACTGCCTCACAGGAAGAGAAGACATGGAGAGCCCACTCTGCCAAAGACACTTCCAGGAACTTCCACATAATTTAATTTACTCCTTTAATACCCAAACAGCCCTGGGAGGCAGGCGCACGATATTGGCCTTCTTTATGCAGAAACCAGAATTCAGAGAGGTTATGTAATTGCCCAAATCCACACAGCTAGGAAGCGGTAGTAAGTAGGGTAACTCATCCCGGGTTGCCCTGAAGAGCCCCAGTTTATGTCTGCTGCCCTGGTGTAATAATTACGACTGTGCCCGCTCCTTCTCAAAAGTGTTCAGTTTGGACCAACATAAGGATTCCAGGTCTGTGATCTTTCCCTGGACAATCTAACCTCCTCTCCCAACCCCGTTTTTCCATCCAGAGCCCCGGGGGCCACCTGCTGCCACCTGCTCAAAACTAGGCCTCTGGGGCAAGCTGCAGGGACCGAAGCTTCAGAATTCGGCAGCACAGCTGAGCTGTGGTTTTTCCCCAGAAGAGGAAGCGGAGGCTGTGGTCCACGTCCCCTTGCTCTTAAGAAATGGCTCCTCCCACGGCTTGGAGCTGCCCAGAGGCCCACCCTGTCCTTGGGAGGCTCCCAGCGTCCCAGCCTGGACTCTGCAGCTCTAAGCAGCAGCCATGGGGCTCCCCGAGCCCTGGGCTCCGGTCTTGGCAGAGGCCTCTGGACAGAGGACAGTGGCCTGCGGGCCCTTCACGGAGGCCAGGGTGGGGTCCCCAGGAGGCCCCAGCAGCCGCTCCGCCCTCAGCGCAGCAGAGCAGGCCTGTGGGATGCTCTTGGACACCCAGTCCCCGACCCGGCCCCGCCATGGGCTCAGTCCCCGGTTGCTCTGAGGCAAGGATTCAACTGCGCCTGGGTGGGGCGCCACCAAAGCCGCTAGACAGGCGCCCTGGGCCTTCAGAAATCTGCTCTGAGGCACTCGTTTCCCTGCTCTCCAGCCCCAGAATAGCCTGTCCTGGCCCCGTGTGCTCAGCCCCTGCCAGCAGTCTCGAGGCCCCATGGAGGTCAGACCCTGGCGGAGCCCACAGGTCCCTGCCTCCCACGGGGACTTGGGCAGAGAACGGAGCCGGGAGCCTTGGTGGTGACCTTCACTGCAGTCGAAGGGTCTGAAGAGCTGCTGTTTACAGGCTGAAGTCTCGACCTGGGAGGAAGCCCTTCTGAGAGGCAGACCTATGCCTGGAGTCTTGCTCGCACTCAGCACCCTTGGGCCTCTCTCCCCCGTGCGAGGCCGTGAGACTCTCGTGACCCGAGAGTCATAACCCCGCTAACCTCAAGACAGAAGCATGAGTGTCTGCGGTGGCCGTGGTTTAACAGTTCGTGCCAGATGGAAGGCCACCCACGTGAGCCCCACTGCGACTCCCCACGTACAGGACTGCACATGCACTGCAGACAGAGACCACGCTCTGTCGGCCCCCACCAGTCCCCAGCACCCAGCCCAGGGACCCTGCTCCTTCCCAGCTAGCTGAGTGATCTTTGCAAGCTCTGGGGCCTCAGCCTCGATTTCCCATCTGCACAATAAGTAACGCCGGGGCCCTGCCTCCAAACTGGTTGTGGGCACCCTTCTGGTCAGAACCTCTACCAACATTTGATGGCCAGGTCACGGAGACCCAGGCATGGCCCTGGTCCTCGGTAAGGTCACAGTGAGGGAAACACCCCTGGATAAGAACAGATGCAGAATTGGGGTGCTGTGGGAGCCCCCAGGTGATACCCAGTCCAGCCGGGGGCCACAAGAAGTGAAGCCGGCGCCTTGAAGAGTTGAGGACGAGATGAGGAGACTCCAGGAGAAAGGGAAGTGCAGAGGGAAAGGGCTGGAGGCCGGAGGGAGCAGGGTCGCGAGGGGGCGGGACTGTTAGGGCTCAGGACAGGCCCAAGTGGGTGGAACAGCCCACTCACGGGGTTGGTCCAGGCAGAGGAGTGTGGACCTGTCCCCAGGGAAGGCACCGAAACAGGAGAGACCAGGTCTGATTTGAGCAGGGTCAGGAAAGGATTGAAGAGGGTGAGGGTGGACACCCGCGGACAGAGGCAGCAGGCTCTTAGGGTAATGGAGGACAGGACAGGACAGAACCCACGGCCCAGGAGCGGCTGTGGGGCCCGGAGGGGGCTGTCGCGTGCTTTGAAGGCGTCCCAGAGACGGTGTTCCTGCATCAGAGGCACCAGCAGCCCCTGCCCCTCCCAGTCGGGACACTGTTTCTGAGTGGTCCATTGGGGGCCCCATTTCAGCCCCCCAGAAAGAGGATCTCCCACAGTGTATGGAGTGGGCGTGGGCGTTTTCTCTCCAGCCACACCGCCTCCAAGCATGGCAAGTAGTTCCTCAACTAGGCGCCCCCACACAGGCACCAACCCTGTAATGATTTATTTTTTACTTAAGAGCATGTGACGAGTGCTCTGCTCACGGACCTGGAAAGTCACGCACAGCATGTTGTTGAGCAGGACTCACGACTGTCCCCACGCCGCCCATCCTGGGACCCTGGTGCCCTCAGGGGCTGCAGGGAGGGCTGTCCACACACACGGTGCTCGGCGGTTGTCTGTCTCATGAAAAACAACTCTTTTATTTTAAAGCAGGCTACGGACAGCGTGGCTAGTAAAAATTTTACTTGTAACTTGACCTGTGTGTGGGAGAGAGGTTGCTCACCGAAATACTAACAGTGCTGACGTAGTTTTCTGAATGGCTTGAGTGTTTACAACAAGCTCTGTATCATTTTTATCATCAGATTAAACCAAGGGGACA